GGGTCAGCCTTGAAGACCAGTAGCTATAGCAGTAGACAAGAGAGTCTTTAAGGCAGGGCAAAAGGGGCAGCTGCCCCATATTTGCTAATTGTCCTGGTTTACATTGGTTTGCAGTGTACAGATGACCCAGATCATATCAACATTCAGATGTAAATAACTGGCACTGATATGTAAATAGTGGCAGCATTCATATGTAAACAGCGGTGGGAAGGGGGGTTAGAGCGGAGAGGTTGGGGGAGCTTTGGGGTGCAGAGGTTATCAATCAGTGAGCCATAATGATGTGCTGTAATCCCTATCAAACAATCAGTAAGCTGTAATGATGTGCTGTAACCTCTAGCAACCAATCAATGAGCAGTAATGATATGCTGTAACCTCTGGCAACCAGTCGCAATCACTGCCTGATCTGCTGCATTAAACTGATTTTGAGTCTAGCTGCTATTTATTATTGTTTGTCTCACAGAAGGTGGACAGCGAAACTGCATTGGGGAGGGGGGGGGGCAAGAAAATGTTTTGCCCAGGGTCCAATCAATATTAAAAACAGTCCTGGCAGTAGAGAGTCTCTCACTGACCAGCTGGATACGTACACAAGCAGGTCACCCAAGCAGATAACACAGGCTCATCCAAGGTGCGGGGTCTAAGCACTAACTGATATTCACCAGAGCTCCTGATGGTGGAGATCCTGCAGGTTTTGCTGTGTGTTAAGATCAGGCTGTGGTCCTCAACATCACTTCACCAAGAGATGGGCAAGCCGGGGTCCAGTAGCAGATATAGCAGGTAGAGATCAAGCAGGAGCACAGTCAGAAAACAAGCCAAAAGTCGGTGATAAATTGTTGCAGGTTGGGATTAAACGGAAGAGTTGAAGAACAAGCCAGAGGTCGGTGATGAGTGGTAGTGGAAAAAAGGACATCTGCAGGTTTGCAAAGGAGGAAGATACCAGCTAGAAATAGCACAAAAGAGAGCCAGAGCAATGGCTTAAATCAGGAAGCTCATGGGAGGAGCAAAGGGTTCAAGGTTCAAGAGAAACAAGAAAAAAGGCAAGATTGTTCTAAGAGATTAGACAGGAAGCTGTCCAGCATCTCAGCATGATCAGCTACTGCTGGATGCAGTTGTGGGTGCAAACCTTAGTCCTTACACAAAGTTACACTTATTCCCACAGCAAATGGGTAGCTTTCACAAAACACCTGCATTATTATATTGATAGACTGGACTTCCTGGGGTTGATTTACTAAAGTCAAATAGGCTATGCATTTTGCAAGAGCAGTTGCTCCAGAATTTAGTAGGGAGGGAGAGAAAGCTCTGCTGACTTCCATCATCAAATCAAGTGCAATCAAAAGTACTGCATTTTTATTATCCCTGCATGTGATTGGGTATTCTTTGCAAAGAGAATCTTCACCTTTTTTAACTAAGCTCTTGAGCAACTGCACTGTCAAACAGCATAGTTTGTTTGCTTTTAGTAAATCCCCCATAGTTTCCCTCACACCCAGGTCCAGGAAAAAGACTGTATGGCAGTTGCTTATAACAATGGAGACTTGTTATAAAATTGGATAATTACTTGTGAGCCACTGGGGGTTATTATCTGTATACAAACTATAATACCAATTGTATGCGTGCATAAAAAGAAAAAGAAAAAAATATTTAATTTGTGTACTTAAAAAATGATTTGATTTTAGATCGCTAGGTACTTCATACACCTTCTCTAGGTGTGTAAGTGTTAACTATATAATCCAATATTGTACCGCGCTCTAATAGGTTCTACCTCTTGTGATATATTGAATACCTGTGTTTGTCACCAATTACCAAACAATTTCATCAATTAATAATACTTAAATCCATAATTAATGTAAATATACAATTAAATTTCTATAAATGTGAAAAAACAAAAACAAAAAAATATATAAATAAAAAATAAAAAATAAAGTGGGAATGATAGTTCTCCTTTAAATGAATAGAGATGGTATTATTCTGACTGGGCTGTTTTAAGGATCTGTGTCCACTGCGTGAACCTCTCTCTCCTCAGCTCAGCCTTCTCAGTAAATCTTCCTCCGCTGGCTGCTTGATTTAATCCTCCATATATAGAGCATAAGATTGTAAATCCAAATTGTAAAGGGTGTGGATGCAAACATTGAGTAAAAAGCCGGAGGATGCTGATGCGCATCTTGAATCCACACAAAACAGTGGAGATTATGTATATTATTTATGAGATCGAGATACAGTTGAACTCCGAAGTAATGGAGGGATAATGGAGAGCAGTTACTAATCACAGCAAAAATGGCGCCGGCAGGATATAAATTGACTCTGTGCATGATGGTATGCAAAACTACATCCCCCAGAGGAAGCTACGAGTCCCTGTAGCGTAACGCGTAGGGGAGGGGCGGTGACGTCATCACGCATCCACAGAGGAACGGCGAGTATACACACTGAAGGCAGACACACCTAGAAAGCTGACCAAAATACGATTTGGATACATTTTATGTAAAGCGCTACTTTATCTTTCACAATGTGAGTGAGAAATCAAAGCACATTAAACAGCTGAAATCCCGGATAAGACACTATGTTTCTTTTCCCTTCTTTTCATGTCTCATATATGGAGGATTAAATCAAGCAGCCAGCGGAGGAAGATTTACTGAGAAGGCTGAGCTGAGGAGAGAGAGGTTCACGCAGTGGACACAGATCCTTAATACAGCCCAGTCAGAATAATACCATCTCTATTCATTTAAAGGAGAACTATCATTCCCACTTTATTTTTTATTTTTTATTTATATATTTTTTTGTTTTTGTTTTTTCACATTTATAGAAATTTAATTGTATATTTACATTAATTATGGATTTAAGTATTATTGATTGATAAAATTGTTTGGTAATTGGTGACAAACACAGGTATTCAATATATCACAAGAGGTAGAACCTATTAGAGCGCGGTACAATATTGGATTATATAATGGAGACTTGTTGTTCTCCTTATGAATATTTAATAAAAAATATAATGTGTGCATTCTACTTTTACTTTATCATGTGGTACTGGGGAAATCTGCCTCCAATTTACTTGAACGGCGCATGTTCTATTAGTGAGATCCCACCTCCAGCACATTTTATTTGTTACACATATTTCTATAGCGCTGATAGTTTGCACAACACTGTACATAATGTACATAATGTATACAGTCATGGGCAAATATATTGGCACGCCTGCATTTCTGTCAGATGATGCATTAGTTCGCCCAGGGAATTGTTGCAAATGTTTAAGCATTCTCATGTTTATTTCTTTTGTTTTGTATTGGTATGACACAAGAAGTGGAGAAACAAAAAGCCAAATTTGACACATTGCATGCAAAACCCCAAAAATGGAATAGACTAAATTATTGGCACCTTCTCAAAATTGTAAGAAATTGTATTCCAAGTTTGTGATGCTCCTGTAATTTGTAATTAAACTCACTTGTATCAATTAACAGGTGCTGACAATATAGAAATCACACCAGCAACCAGGTAAAATGGTGAAAAAGTGACTCAAACTTTCTGTTGTGTGTCTTTGTGTGCCACATGGAGCATGCAGAAGAGAAAGAGCAGCAAAGAATTGCCTAAGGATTTGAGAACAAAAATTGTGGAAAAGCATGGACAATTTCAAGGTTACAAGTCCATCTCCAGAGATCTTAATGTTCCTGTGTACACTGTGTGCGCAACATTGTCAAGAAGTTTACAACCCATGGCACTGTAGCTAATCTCCCTGGACGTGGACAAAAGAGAAACAATTTGAAATAAATATTGCAATGAAGGATTGTTCAAATGGTGGATAAAGAAACTTAATCAACTTCCAGACAAATTCAAGCTGACCTTCAGGCACAGGGTATAACAGTGTCAGCTTGCGCTATACGTTGCCATCTGAATGAAAACTATGGTAAGAGACCCAGGAGGATCCCAATGCTGACACAGAAACATAAAAAACCTAGATTGGAGTTTGCCAAAACTTACCCAAGGAAGATCCTTTTGTAAGAATGTTCTGTGGACAGACTAAACAAAATTACAGCTTTTTGGTAAAGCCCATCAATCTACTGTTTTCATAAAAAGAAATGAGGCCTTTAAAGAAAAGAATACAGTCCCTACAGTCAAACATGGTGGAGGTTCACTGATGTTTTGAGGTTGCTTTGCTGCTACAGGCAATGGATGTCTTGATCACGTGAATGGCATTATGAAATCTGAAGACTATCAAAGCATTCTGGGGTGCAATTTCAGGGCCAGTGTCAGAAAGCTGGGTCTCCATCAGAAGTCATGGGTCTTACAGCAGGGCAATGACCCAAAGCACACGTCAAAAAAGCAGCCAGAAATGGCTTCAGACAAAGTGCTGAAGAGTGCTGAACTGGCTAGCAATGAGTCCAAATCTAAATCCCATAGAGCAGTGGTGGGCAACCTTTTTTTTCAACTGAGCCAAATCTCGCCAAAACCACGATTGAAATTTATTTTGAGAGCCACATTTTTAAAACTGAAAATACATAGGATGGTACACTGTTTTTAGTTTCAATAAGTTTTTTATAGTAATTCATCCCCCATATAGTAATTCATCCCCCATAGTAATTCATCCCCCATATAGTAATTCATCCCCCATAGTAATTCATCCCCCATATAGTAATTCATCCCCCATAGTAATTCATCCCCCATAGTAATTCATCATCCCCCATATAGTAATTCATCCCCCCTATAGTAATTCATCCCCCATATTAATTCATCCCTCATATAGTAGTAGTAAGTAAGTAGCAAGTAGTAAGCCAAGTCCCCCCTGTGTCAATTCACTTACCTTTGCTCCGCGCGTTCCTCTCACCGTGTTCCCGCGCCGTCTTCAGAGCGGACTGTGAGAGGAGCCTAGCTCCTCTCACGTTCGTCACGCTGCCCCGCCTACACACATCCTGACAGCCAATCACTGGCTATCAGCATGTGAGTGGCAGCGAGACTGGCCAATCATTGCATTTGAGCGCGCTGCCCTGGCTGTTTTTTTTTGGATCACGCTGCAGAGTCCTTGCCGCCCGAGAGGAGGGAGGGGAGCGGGCGCCCGGCACACAAGAGCCGCATTAAAGCGTGTAAAGAGCCGCATGTGGCTCGCGAGCCACGGCTTGCCGACCACTGCCATAGAGCATCTGTGGAGAAATCTCAAAACAGCATTGGGAAAAGGAACCCTTCCAATCTGAGTGGCCTGGAGCAGTTGATGAAAGAACAGTGGTCCAAAATTCCAATAGTGAGGTGTAAAAAACTCATTGATAGTTACAGGAAGTGATTGATTTCAGTTATTTTTTCCAAGGGTGTGCTACCAAATATTAAATTGATCATTTTGTCCAGTCCATTATTGGGGTTTTGTGTGGAATGTATCAGATTTGGCTTTTTGTTTCTCCACGTTTTTGTGTCATACCAATACAAGCAAAAAAAAAAAATGTGATAATGCCTAAACATTTGTAATTGTAACAATTTTCTGGACAAAGTAGCGCATTATCTGACAGAAATGCAGGGGTGCCAATATTTTTGGTCAAGACTGTATATTGTACATTTCACATCAGTCCCTGCCCTCAAGGAGCTTACAATCTAAGGCCCCTAACTCACATTCATACATACACACACTAGGGGCAATTTAGACAGGAAGCAATTAACCTACCAGAACACCCTTGGCGTGTAGGAGGAAACCCATGAAAGCACAGGAAGAAGATGCAAACTCCAGGCAGGTAGAGCTGTGGTTGGGATTTGAGCAAACGACCCTACTGCTCCAAGGAGGAAGTGCCACTGTGCTGCAGGATCCACCACATAAATTGCATATTGCATAGTGTCTACCCCTTTCCATGGATATTTCTCACTAAGTCTGCACACTAAGTCTAGAGGTTCATCTACAGTTTCAACAAAAATAAATTTTCTAGTTTCTTTTCAAAGGGGATCTTTTAGGATTTCCTTTTTGCCAACCTAGCCATGACCTTTCAAGTTCCTCCCCTTAAGTGACCATTAATCTTCTGCACAGCTCTGATGATGCCTAGCAGGTCTGAAACAGGTGTGTGCACTTTGGAATTCAGTTAAATAAAGCACAGCAATAAGAAGCAGTAAGGGCTCGTTCACACTTGATTTTTATTAATAACTCTTGCCAAATGCCCCTATAGCATTTGACAGGCGTTAGACAGGCGTTTGGGAAGCATTTTTAAGGCTCCTCAAATGCTCCCCAAACGCCACATGTGCGGTTTTGAGGCTGTTGCTAGGCATTTGCCAAGTGTTAAAACCACACCACAAATGCCTATAATGAAGTTAAATGGTATTAACGCTTTGCAACCGTGTGCCAGGCATTTGTGGAGCGGCACCATAGACTTGAATGGGAGGCTTCAACTCCTCCATCTCCACACGAGGCGTCAGTTTTTTTGTATAGTAATATGGGGGTGGTTTAGCTCAGGGGTAGATGTGTTTTTACAGTGAGTCCACAGTAGTCAGTAGTTTAGTTTAAGAGTGTGGCAGCTCATTTTTATTAAAAGGAAACAGAAAATGTTCTTACATACGGCAGGTTTCCCACACAGGGGTTCTTCTTCAGTAAACATAACTGATGAAAAATATAAGTCATCTGGCTCATAGACTCACTCAACCTCGATTGCAGTACCTTGGTGCATGGGCCCACTCCTGAACTCCAAATATGGTTCTCTTGCCCCCCCCCCCCCCCCCCCCAGGGTTTGATCACTCTCTCCGAGACTTCTGGACTTTCTCCAGCCTCACTAGACGCCTCGGCTTTCCCAGGCTCCCAGACCCTCTCTTGGTCTCCCAGGCCTGCATAGCTGTCCTGACCTTCCCAGTCCTTCAGGCAAGAAATCTCACTCACTAGGGATGACAGAAACAACCAGGTCTCCTGACAGGGGCCAAATGGCAGCAACTGCCCTACGCTATTCTCAGATCTGGCATATGACAATCCTGACTACCTGTGCTCTCACACAGGCTGCAGACAACTGCCAAAGCCTGGATACAGGACTGAAGGCTTTGTCCCACCCAATACTCTTCTGAACCCTCAAGCTTCCAGCCCCAACCGATTTGTCAGAAAAACCTTCCTTTCCTTTCAGAATCAACATTTTCTATGGGACACTGTACTACAAAATACTCCCCAAATGTAGGCCATTGATTGCAAACAAGATTTGTTAACAAATCTTTTTCCTAACAAATGTATTCAAAACCATCTTGCAAAAATGAATATACCCCAATGAAAGTCTTAGGAGCAAAGCTAAGTTTTAGACAGGAAAATCCTAATTAATCCCAATTAAAGAATTCAGCTACAGGTGAGTCTATTAATTAAAAAGGTGTCCAGCAACAGTTGATTATAAAATGGCATTACTTAATAAAGAAAACCCCTTCCCATATCATGCTGAGCCTGAGAAAGAAAATAATTTATTTACGCAAGAAAGGTGAAAGCTACAAGAAGATCAGCAAAGCTTTACTTATCACTCAGAATACTGTAGCAAAAGTGATACAAACATTTAACAAAGATGAAACTTTTAACCATCTCACAGAAATGACCAGCCGGCCCACGGCAGTTAACTAGAGGAATGGCATGCATGGGTGTTGTCCATGAAGGAAGCCTCTGCTAAAGTCCATGCACCAAAAAGCCCGCCTAACATTTTGTCAGGGCAGGAACGCTGGAATGGGCAGGCAGGCCTATGGAACGGTCACGCTGCGACTGACGACAGCCACTACCCCACAGACCAGAGTCCCTCAGGGCGCGGAGTCTAAGCCCCAGCTACTACCCTTCACCAGGGCCCCTGATGGTGGGGGATGGACTTGACGCAGCCTGAGACCAGGTCGCGGCCCCCGAGTGACCCCAGCTGCGATAACGACTGCCGCCAATGGCGTACAGCTGGTGGGAGCTAGATGGGATCACGAGTAGAGTAGTCAGACAAGCCGGGTCAATAACAACGGAGCAGACAGTACTGAGGAGAAGAACGGTAGGCAAAGAATACTCAGGTCACGGGCCGGGTTCAACAACGGGAGGTCAGATAAAGGGTTAACGCAGAGAGTAGTCTTGTCCAAGCCGAGTCGGTTACCAGGAGAGCAATGGGAACAACACAAGAGCTTGCAACAGGGGCAACATACAGGACACAAGTGCAGAGCACACACTTGCAGACAGCAGGTTTAAATGTGCTCAACCACACCCTTCTGAGGAGGAGCCGCAGAAGCCTGAAGGCATAAAGGTTCCCACCATGCTTTGCAGAAAACCAAGATGGAGGCCAGCTCATGGAGATGCACAAGCTCTGAAGAAAGGTAGGACCTTGACAGTACCTCCTCCTCAAGGGCCCCTCCCCCTCCGTGGCTCCACAAAAGGTTTCTGAGGAAATCGGGCGTGAAAAGCGCGGAGAGGAGGCAGGAGCATGAACATCCGCGGAAGGAACCCAGGAACGTTCCTCGGGACCATAACCACGCCAATGGGACCAAAAACTGTACCCGACCGCGGACCAACCGAGAATCCAAGATGCGGCTCACACCTCATACTCCTCATGAACCGTCGACCCTGATAGGACGAGGACGAGGCAGAGAGGCAGTAAAGCGATTACAGATCAGAGGTTTCAACAGGGATACGTGGAAGACATTGGAGATGTGCATCCCAGGAGGAAGAGCAAGGGCATAGGCAACCGGGTTCACCCTGCGAAGAATGCGGAAAGGACCAACAAAACGGGGGGCCAGCTTTGGTGTGGGCACCCGAAGCTTGAGGTTGCGAGTGGACAACCACAACCCGATCTCCGACCTGGTATGAGGGAGCGGGCAACCGTCTACGATCAGCCTGGAGCTTCTGGCGCTGTGCTGAGTCCTTCAAAGGACCTCTGAATGAATCTGCCCCCCATGAGGAGCGCAGAGCAGCCAGGTGGTTATCCACAGCGCCCGGAATGTCCTGTGGAGAGAACAACTCAGGCAATACAGCGGGTTGGAACCCATAGTTGGCCATGAAGGGGGACATCCCAGAGGAGGAGTTGACAGCCGAGTTCCTCGCAAACTCTGCCCCATGGCAGGAGATCGGCCCAGTTGTCCTGATGATCCGATATATAGCAACGAAGGAATTGTTCCAGGGCCTGGTTGGAACGCTCCGCAGCCCCATTGGACTGAGGGTGGTAGGCCCGAAGAGAAGGAAAGCTCGATACCCAACTGGGAGCAGAAGGCGCGCCAGAAACCTGGACACAAACTGGCTCCCACGGTCCCGAGACAATCACCTTGGGCAACCCGTGCAAGCGAAAGATCTCCTTGGCGAAAACCGTAGCCAGTTCCTGTGCAGTCGGCAAGATTTCTTGAATGGAACGCAATGGCACATCTTAGAAAAACGATCGATCACCATAAGAATGACCGTATGACCTTGAGACGCAGGAAGATCCACAATAAAATCCATTCCCAGGTGTGACCAGGGACGCTCCCCATTGGGAATGGGTTGCAGAAGGCCCAATGGAAGGTGCCGAGGAGATTTATTCTGGGCACAGACCGAACAAAGCTGCTACATATGAGGCGATGTCAGAACGGAGAGATGGCCACCAGAATAACCGAGAAACAACCCAGGACAATTGGTTCCTACCAGGATGACCGGCAGTCTTGGCATTATGGTAGGGTACGTAGCAAGCGGGTACGCAATCCCTCAGGTACAAAACATCTTCCAGCAGGTCTCTCAGGGGGAGCGTTAGTTTGAGCCGCCAAAAAAAATCTGCTCCCCCAAGGGGAGAAGTTCAGGTTGGTACGAATGGCAGCCAGGATCTGGTTAGGAGGAATGAACCGAGGTCGGCTCAGTGTCCTCCCTGGACAGCTCAGAGTATTGCCGCGACAAGGCATCAGCCCTGACATGTCTTGGAACCAGGCAAGTAAGAGACCACATAGTTAAAACGTGACAAAAACAGAGCCCACCTGGCCTGACGGGGGGTGTCACCACTCTTAGCCTCCGAGAGATATGTGAGGTTCTTGTGGTCAGTGAGAAACTAGGACCGGGACCACAGAACCCTCAAGCAGGTGCCTTCCATTCCTTGAGAGCCAGAATAATGGCCAACACTCCCTGTCTCCAATCTGGTAGTTGCACTCTGCAGAGTGAAAGCGTCTTGGAGTAAGAACCACAAGGAAGTAAGGGGTCCCTCGGGTGACCCGTCGCTGGACAAGAGGGCCGCCTACTCCTGTCTCAGTTGCATCAACCACGAGACACAAAAGGCAACCCAGGTTGGTATGAGACAGAATTGGGGCCGAGAG